CTCATTAAATATTTTATTTAGTTTTGGTTGCTTCTAGCCATTTTAAGGTTATCTTCTGCTATTGCACCTCGCGTGTGGAGCAGAGGCATTGACTTATGGCCATTTCAGTTCAGTCACTAAACCCTACCATGTACTCTCACATGTATCTATTTCGTACATGTCTGTGTGTTTCATCAACGTCTTTGAGACCTTAAGACCTTAAGAACATCAGTTCCCTCAGTTTTCAGATCACATGCTGATTTAAAAACCTTTGCAGACATTTATAGCACCATCCCCACACTATCTTCTTTAAACTACTGGGAAAAAGGAATTGCAGAAATCTTGAAGAATGCTATGTAGCACATCAGTATAGCAACCCACAACTTTCGGCTTTGCACTTAACTTCTGGCAATTGCTTGATGCTTTCTTGCATTGCATTGTTTTTGATGCTACTTTTTGATACCCACTGGAAGACTTGAGGGAGTTTAAAAGAAGTTGTTCATGTTCTTAGTAGCTTAGTCACTGATCACGTGATGTCAGTGCTCTGTGATTCACTTCTGATTCATTTCAAGTTGTACACCAGGTAATACAGTTGGAACCTGCTTATGAAATAAAGACAGTGTTCATGAAATAAAGGCCTCTTAGACCTAGCAAAGCTAACTTTTCCTTCTTGCAAAATTCATTTCAGTTAAGGAATGCCATCCTTGGCATTCCTACTATTGCCTTATCATCGTGAGTGGAAGGGAAGGTCTCAGTACAACAATCTTGTCTATTGAACATACTCTTTCTGTTAAGTATATTTACCACAGAGTTGTGGACATCAGGACCTGGTGAAAAGCAGGTAGTTTGCTCTTAAAGTATTACTTACTAATTCTTGAGTGATTTGTTTCTCTAAAGTATTCAAGGAACAAGTGATACTTCAGTTATTTCTATATCATGGATTACAAGGATTACACTAATTGGATATGCAATAGAGTGGCTGATGGGCCTAGATTAAATGTTCTTATCCTTGTGTGTTCTGAGTCTCATATAAGAAATGGAACTTTTGTAATTGTAGTTTTTAGTGGCTTTGTGTTACTACATAGATAATAAAATATTTATCATTACATGTCTGTGCTTTCATTCATGGAGTTAAATGCTGGAGAATTATATTCAACTCCTGCTTTCTTATTTGTTTCAGAGAATATTTATTATAATCTTAGTACAATAAGGGAATTTACAGAAGTAAAAGCATGCAAGCAGTTGGTTATTTGTATTTTGCTGCAGTGAAACAAAGCTAAGGCTTATGCAGTATTTTGCAGCTTTCTTGAAGGTAAATGGCCTAACTGAAACACACCCATTCCACTTTATTTAGTATTCACTCTGTGGTTTTGCTCACCGGCTGTGTGGTTAGAAACAGATATACAAACGGAAATGAAAATGAGTCGCAAAGTTTTAAAACGAACTGCTGGAGGTTCACGAGAATGCTGCAGAGGCAGTCAGAGGCACTCATGCAACACAGTCAGGACAGCCCTCTTATTGGCTCCACCATTTGCACAAAGATGCTTTACCATAACTTCTGTTACTTCCTTACATACAGCTCTTGTTAGCAAGTTAGCTCTTCAAAAAGTAGTGACCTTGTGGTCAGTGTTGTGGAAGATCCAATGACAGCTCTGAAACCGAAACTGAGCTGGAATGTCTTCTCACCTAAGGCCCATTAGGGCTTTTTGAATTACGAATTTGTTATATGCAAATGGAAGAGAAATCAGACTGAATATTTTTCTTTTAGTATTTTTCTTTTCTATTTTCTTTATCATGGTGTATGTAGTTGAAAAGTGCTTAATTTTAAATTGGGCAGGAAGATGACATTAAATATACTGCACGTTTGTAAAATTGTTTGCTGTTACAATCAATTCCATGCAGGCTTGCTGTTCAGTGCTGAACTGTGCTGGTAACCTTTAGGTTTTTTTGCTGCATAGTGTTTATTTTGGTTTTTAAGCCATCACTAATACAATATTTTTTCTTTGTAGAGGTGAGCCATTTGGTTGGGTGAGAGAATGCATAGCTCAAAACCTAGTACTGCTTTAATATGTGCAAAATAATGGCATGTCATTGCAGTGAAGTCTACCTCTGTTGCAAGATAATTAGATTTGGATGTAGTGAAGCATAAATACACTTTTATTATGCAAGAAAATACCATAAATGTGTTGATCTACGTACTAATAGTATGCAGAACATGCTAGTTTTTTCGTGTCTTTGTGAAATGGAAAAGGTAAAATGGAAGAGAGATCTTCTAGAAGACAGAAATTCGATTTGGAACCTGGTGCCAAGTGGTACCTGTGTTATGTCATAACAGAGGATTTTGGAATACCCACAGTGAAAGTGCAGGGAAAGAGTTATTTTTTGTCTTTGTCATCTGAAAATGATCTATATGGAGCACTTATGAAAAGCTGGTGATTTAATTACATCTGTATATTCTTAATAATATGTGTGCATGTAACCATTTGGCTTCCAAGTTAAGCATATACTGAACTACTTTTCTGATTAAACAGGAGCTATTGGATGGAGGTTCTGGCAGAACACCAAGTTTTGTAAAATGCATGAAAATTAATACAGGCCTCTCTGTGCAAGGCCTAAAATAATTGTACTCTTCCTGAAGACACTGGTACAAAATGCCAAATATTAAAGGCCTGAATATGTATTGATTCTTCATGTCCCAGCCTTCCTCGGCAAGTTTCCTACTTCTCTACCTGAATAATTTGCTGTTTTGCCCTCAGTGCTCATGCTGTAATACCTAGGCAGTTTATATCTCAGAAGGATTCTTCCAGGAATAAATATAATTATGTGCGAACGCAAACAAGGAACGCATAAACTTTGGTTCATGCTATTAAACTGAGAACTTGTAGCATAAGCCAAAAGGCAGATCAAGAACTTTTTATTACTTGGGGTCTACACGGCTCTCATTTATGGGGCTGTAGGAGAGGCAGACTTTCCCCTCGCCTGTATTGCTGAATGTGGAATTGCTCCTTACAATTAAGTGTAACTGCAGAAGGCAACTTCAGAAACTAGTGTCTCATGTTCAGTGTTGAAGGTCACCTGATGCGTAAAATTCTCATCCTGGGCTTGCTAGTGCTGAGCAGTTGCTGCTATTCATATAGTCTCTGCCAGAATTTACTGTTCAGGATTTTTTTACTTGTCTTGTCTGAGAGGATGGCTGTAATAAGATATTTTGTTGTTTGTGTTAATTGTACTGAGTTTCCTGCAAACTGACTATGCTTTTGCTAGAAGAGTGAAGTTACCCATACCAGTTATATGATACGCAGCATGTCCTCTGCTTTCAGGACTCCAAACAGTCAGCTAAAGCAATAACTTCACTTGTGAACTTCAGATCTAGGCCCTTCTGTGTCACCTTCTTACTAAACTTCGTCTACTTCGTATGAAATAAGAGTCAGCCTATCTTCCAGTTTAAACTAAATTTGATGGAAAGATAGGAATACCAAAGAATGTGTGGAAGAGAGACATACAGATAAGTGCCCACATTGATATAGGAGCAGCTGTGTGAGCCCAGACTTGGTTTGATTTGATCTGCTTTCTGGCCAGGCAGCCTGGAGTCAACCGCAACATGTATTGCTTTTGTGTAACTGATAGCTTTAAGCATGGCATCATTGTGAGGAAGAGAATGAAAAGACTTTAAGGGGAGAGTATAGTTATAAAGGGCATGAGTGGGATCGTTGTGGAATGAGGAACAGAGAAGACAGATCCGGAGGAAATCGGGTTTCATTAGTTCTACCAGAGATCCTATGTATTGCTTAAAAGGAAGGGCTTGGACTCTGGGGTTCTCTCTTCACATTCGGTACCTTCCTGTAGAAGGGCATGGAAGTTCTTGCTCAATAACTAATGGGGATTATCTTGTTTTGCCAATGGGCTAAATTTAATGTTCTTTTTTGGTGATGTGCAATTTAAAAGTGACTTTTCTCCCCCTTACCTGGTAATAGATGCTATTTTATATCTTGCAAATCTGCTGTTTCGCATCCCTCTTCCATTTTGCCCTATTGTGCATTGCTTCTGTATCTTGTTCCTGTTACTGCTTTTTTTAATGGTAACTACATTTATCCTAATAGAGATTAATGCGTTTAAAATTATTCAAAAAGATAAATTTTCTTTTCCATTTGAAAGACTGTCTAACTCCAAACTACTTAGGTTCTCATGACAGGCTGTAGAAGGCTGTAAATATTCATCAGTTAATGTTTACAAACACTTTCACTAGTGTTTTTGTTACAGAAATGGAAACATTTTTAAGTGTTCTGCTACATTTGATGTCCTTGATCTTTTCAGAATATGAAAAAACCCCCACATGACCCAGAAGACAAGTAGTCTAAAAACCTTATTCAACTGAAATCCTTGTAATGCATAGTTGAAGGAGATGTGTAGGACATTTAGGTCCATCACAGGGAGTATGCATAGGTAAACCTCTGGGCTTCCTGCATACGTTGTATCTCATTCCATGAGATATTGGTGCATCTCGATATAGATCCCAACCTGAGTGTGTACTTTAGTGCTATGCATGTCATCTGTACAAAAAGCCTCACAAACACTTAAGAATATTGCTGTTCTGTTTGATAAGTTCAGTCATGCCACCGACTCATAGGGATCATTAACTGAATTCTTTTGCTCTGCAATTCATTAATTTGTTTCAAAGTTTATACTCATATACCTAAAGCTAAGGATTTAAATGCATCGCTGGGCTTAGATAATTTTGTATCATTATCTGGATATTTTGAATTTTTTGAGACTTTTTTATTTGCCTTTTTCTTTTTTCTTTTTTTTTTTTAAGGGTCTTCCAAACCTGGTAGTGAAATATATTTCTTGTTAAATAGCTCTCATCAGAAAAATAATTCAGTTCCTAAGTTAGTAAGTTACTGCTATTTTTGACATAGCGTATATGAACAGACCTAACTAGAATTAGGATTCTGAAAAAGCCTCTTATAAGTTGTTCATTGGAGGTATAGCAAGATTTCAATATGAATACTTTTTTTTTTCAGATTTAGAAGGAAATGCATATCAAAACAACCAGCTGCTAAAGATAATTCTTGCCATGCATCAGTTTATCATCTCATCTGCAGACATGCTTCAGAAACTCATTGATCTATATCCTTTGTAATATTCACCTACTGTTAAGGTAATACTTGATAGCCTTACAAGTTTGAGACGGGTAAGCAGAGCATATTTACTCTATGAGTGTATTACTGTACCACTAATTAAACAGTACACTTGTTCTTTACATTTTTTGTTTGTATGGTGTGGTTTGTTTGGGTTTTTTTGTGTGTCTTTTGGTTTAGCTTGTCGTACATAGAGCAAAAAGATGAAACTCCAATTCAGGTTTTAAGTAGGATAAATCACCCTCTGTTGGCTGTAGAGGGAATATCTATAAGGTGTTAGGTTAATGTAGGCACGTCAGTTAGGTACTGTAAACCTGGGCCCAAGTTTCAGATCTGTTTCTCTCTCTGTCCTCCGTACAAGTCAAAGAGCAAAGAACAGAAGTGTATCATCTGGATATGAAAATTTTCAACAAAAATTATTTCTCTCACACACACTCAAAATTACAATGCACTGAAATAAACCATAAGCTTTTCCTTTCTATTTCTTCCCATTTTGAGGTAACTGCCTAGACTCATACACCTGTGTTTCTGGGTTATTAGATTTTTCATAACGTAGCTGCTAGATTGTGTTAACAATACTAGCCTTTCTTAGGAATCTTTAATTGTGGGATATGTTACCTGTCTCTTTAGCTTTACAGAATGTTTACTCCTAATTATATGAGCACAGTACAGGCAGGAGACCTGTCGTGCTTAGAATCCACAGCCATTTTTGGTTCAATTTAGAGAATCCTTTCTTTCCTCAAACTGTGTCTAACAGGCATTTATTTATTCAAATTGGGGCCTTTCAAAATATTTGGGAACTTACTCAGACCTCACCAGTTCTATAGTCAGCCTGATGTAAGCATACAATATGGTCGGTTAAATTGTGGATGATATGTCCCCTCAGTTGCTGTAGATTTAGGCTGCAGTTACTTTCAGTCAGACTGTGAGAGGATCCACAAGGTATTTTCATTACATTATGTTTTCAGACATGAAAATGTGTGTGTCGTCTACATCAGAAGAATCAAGACATGTGTAATACATTTTCCATGTGTATTTTCCGTGTCTTCAACAGACATCGGTGACAATATCAAAACATGTTTTATAGAGCTAATAGATGAAAAATATGGGTGTTTCTTTCCAGTTATCACATCAAGTCAAATGAAAACTGTTGCGCAGCGAGGTAGGTAAGGTTACTACGGAGAGGCATGTCACATTTTGCTCTACCATTGTATACAACTGGTTATGTTTAAAAGAAAATAACATCTTTCTTTTAAAAGCTCCAGTGAGTTGTAATTAGCTGAAAAGGATTTCTTCCTAAATGCAGTGATTCATAAATTTGGTATTACTGTTTCAAATTTTAATGAGATGTGCAAGTGCATGAGCTTTATTAGAAGTTGTGAGACATGTTGCAAATAAACATGAAGAAAACAGAATTGTTTCACTACTTAACACTACTCAGTACTTGGGTAATTGCATCAATATTACTCATAGTAGTCATAGTTGCAATAAACTTTGGTAACAACCTTGGCTTATACTTAGTATACAGTTGTGTAATAATCTGTTATTATATGACATCAGTAGAATGATTCCTATTGCTTACAGGTTGGGAAGTATCAAGCATGTTACATTTCATATCGTATGTGAATGGATGTGGTTTTCCTTAAAAGTTTTTCTACCTATCTTAATGCTTTAGAAAATAACTCCTCCATGCTGTGTGTAAAGATATGCTATTTTGTGAGGTAAGTATATTCTTGGTTGGTAGCTATTAGTTTGCAGCCATCCATGTGCCATATGTAAATATGTTTGTGCATATTTTAAGTTGACATTAAAAATAGAAACAGGTATTCTGCTTCAGCTTTCCAAGGTTCATTTTAGCAGCTTTACACAAAAAGGCCCACACAACTGGCTTTGAGATGTGCTTGAGTCAGCGCGTGAGTTGTTGGGTCACAGCTTTGGACAGAGTCTGTATGAATCTGAATCTTAAACATCCATGAAAATTGTCAGTGCTCAGGAATTGGTAGCATTGTATCTAATATTATTATGTAGGTCTATTAAAAATGAAGTGGGATATTGCAGATATTTTTATATTAAGCAAAACTCTGTTACATTTGGTAGGTAATTCTCCTTAGTAATTCTACTTAGTCACTTGCAATGATCCTGGAACACCTTTTGGGGTTTTTTGTTTTGTTTTTTCTTTCATTAAGTATAATAAAGTTTGATATCTCAGTTTAAAGAAAACAGAAGAGAGGAAAAAAATGCAATTGATTGATGATACTCTTTTTTACACCAAAAGGGAAATAATTAGTAACAGGAAAGGAGAATTTGTTTTAAATTGTGATGATTTTATTATCTCAGAGCAAATTATTGGTTATGTTAGAATGCTTTAGTATTGTATGAGATATGGTAACATTTTTGCTTGTAGGCAAATTCATACATGCATGCATCCATAAGAACTTGCATTTCCGTTTTTCCAACAAGCACAGATTTTTACATGTCTAGTACTGGGTACTGGGTCTGGCTGGAATGGAGTTAACTTTCTTCCTAGCAGCCCCTATGATGCTGTGCTTTGAATCTGTGAGTAAAACACATCAATGTTTTAGCTATCACTGAGCAGTGGTTGCACAGCATCCAGACCAGTTTCTCACTCTGCCCCCACCACAGTGTAGGACTGGGGGGAGCTTGATGTTGGGAGGGTATACAGCTAGGACAGCTGACCTGAACTGACCAGAGGAACATTCCATGCCGTATAGCATCGTGCTCAACAATAAAAAGTTGGGGGTAGTCATTCCAAAGTTCCTGTTTCTTGGATACTGGCTGGGCATCTTGTGTGAGACGGTGTTTGCCTTTCCATCACTTCCTTGGTTTTTCTTTGTTTGGCTTTTTTATTGCCTTCAGTTATTAAACTGTCTTTATTTTGGCCCACACATTCTTCTCACTTTCACCCTTTCTGTCCTCTCCCCCATTCTGTTGCAGGGGAGAGAAGGGAGTGAACGCCTGAGTGGGTATTTAGTTCCTGGCCAGGGTCAGCCTACCACAAGTGACAAGTCACATCTAGGAATTGAAATATAAAATATATGACTAAAACAATATGAATGCCCCACAATGAAAACTATAGTTCTCTGAAAAGATTTTGTGCATGTGGGACTGAATCACCTGTAAACTATTAAATAGATTTTATTAGTAAATTTTTGTGCCTACCATAGTGTGCAAGTTTGGAGCTGGCTTCCTGCCAAGTCTCTGAAACTTGACAACAGAGTCTCCTTCCCAGAGAGGGAAGGAAAAAAAAACCAAGTAGCCAAAGGTCTAGCAAAAATATATATATTTTACGTATAAAACAGAGATATACAATGAGAATTATATATATGAATCTATGACCCCAAATAGCTTCCCGAAGGGAAGAGGGGGGAAGGGAGAAGGGAAAAGGATAAAATAGGGTGAAAAGGGACAAAACCAAAACAGATCTACACGATCTAAAAGCCCGGCAACCAGCAAACTGAAAGATTGGTAAGAGCTCACCACTTCCCTTGAGAGAAAGCAGTACGTCTGGACGCAGCCCAGCACTCTCCCCTCACGCATGGCCGATAGCAGCAGTTACTGTAGGCCTCAGCTCCGGATAAGCCAGACCAAAACAGGGACCACCGTTCTCCAACCTCCCCGGAAGAGAAGAGAGCGAACTCTCTTATCAATGCCTTATTTATACCCCAGGTTACGTAAAGGAATAGCATGGAATACTTCCTTGGTCACCTTCCTAGTTCCTTCCTGGTTACCAGCTGGTTTCCAGGAAGGCCTAGACTGAAACCATCACACATAGTCATCATGTCTGATGTACAGACCAAATAATCTCAAGTTTTAAAGGAATGCAGAAAATCTAAAAGTTCATGAAGGAAAACTCAGCATGCATATTATCTAGATATATAGTGAAACTAGAAATTTTGATATTGAGTTTATTGCAAACATATATGTAGTATAGTGCTGTACAGCATTGAGTCAGATAGTTTCTAATTTGTTTTAGCCTTGAAACTTTGATTTTTGATAAAATCAAGGTAGCCTAGCAAAAGCATCTAAAAGCAAGATTTATCCCCCAAAGTTGGTAAAGAAGTAATACAACTTGTAAACAGGAGCACATATCTAAATTTCAGCCTTACTGATGTTAGAACAAAACATGTTTGTGTGTTTGTGTGTTTTAATTGTGCAATAGGTATTGGATTACAGAGTTCTGGATTATGTTCAAAATGGACTCTAAACTATCCACAACTATGGAGGAATTTCAAGAGCTGGTTAGAGCTAATGGTGAGGAGTTACACTGTCGTCTAATTGACACATCTCAAATGTGAGTGCCAAAGTCTGAATATGCTCAGAAAACAAACTTTATCTCTGAATTGTCTTTATTCGAATATAATGTCTCTCCTGAGTCATATGTATCTATCCTTAGAAAAGTTTATACTTCATTACAGATGAAATATATATTATGTAGTGGAACAAAATGCATTCCAGGAATGGCTTAGGTTGAATTTAGCTACATCATAGACTTTGTGCTGATTCTCTATGCTACCAAAGTTTTAGTCTATCCAGGGAACTTAGAAAACTTGTAGAGGCCTAACGATTTTGGAAGATCACTTGAAGCCAATGAGGAGCAAACAATTTGATTGGATAACAGATGAGGTAAAAAAGTGTGTTTATATTTTAGCACCAAATGTAAAGAGGATATAGATTATTACACTGAGTGACTTTTGATACTGTTTTATATGATTTTAGTTATAAAATATTTGTCCTATCAAGAATAAATCCTACAGCTATACATCATATAGTTCTTTCTTGGGAAGAAAACTTTCCCTGTTATATGAGAGTAAGATAGATCTGTGGAACTGTATAACAGTGTGAATTCATACTTTGGGTGGAAATGGACAGGCTAAAGCAAAGCAGAATTTGGCATACATTTTATATCTGGTTATGAAAGAGGATATTTCATTTTTCAAATCCAAATAAATTTCATTACTCCATGGGTGAATAGCAAAGGGGGACAGTTTATACTCAGAGGCTGGTCGAGAAAATCTGTAAGAATTATTAAATGGAGGAATGCTGGATGTGTTCAATGAAGATAAAGTCACAGAAAGCTGTTCTGGAAATGCAGTACTGAATCTCATGCTGTTTAGTAATATAATTGTATTGTACTTAATGTGCTACATCAATACAATAAAGATTAACAATAATATTTTTTCATATAATCTCTATTGCAGGAAAGGAGCTTGCTGTTTTTAAATTCTAATAATTCACTTTTTATTGCAGTAAGGCATGAAAGCAATGTTACCTTTGTATTGGGGAAACAGGGAAATTTTGCTCTTCAGAAAATAACTCATGATAATTCTGTTTTAAAAGCAATTCTAGGGATTGGTCTAGAAAGCTGACACAGCGTGTAAAGGCCAACACCAGTAAGAAACGGAAAGTCTCACTTCTTTTTGATCACCTTGAGCCAGAGGAGTTGTCAGACCACCTTACCTATCTTGAATTTAAGTCTTTCAGAAGAATAACAGTAAGTGATTAATTTTTATCTATTTATGTATCTATCCATTTATTTATTTATTGTAAGCAAAGATGGGAAAGACATAGAAAATATGGCAGAGAGGTAGTATTACAAGATTAACTCTGCCGCACAAGCTGTTGACAAGCCGAGTCTGTGTCCAGACTCTTTTTTGTTTTACTAGTGTTGAAGGTGGACAGTGGAACTTAATTCTGAGTATGTACCCTTTTGCTACAGCCATTTGAGAGAGGAAGAGTGAACCTGAAGTGTGGAACAGAATCAGGGCAAGGTCAGTTGGAAGGAAGAGGAGTAAACCTTCTTCCAAATCCAGGATCTTCTTCCAGAGAGTCTCTTTTTGTTAGAACAAGTGATGTCATTCGGCATAGGAACAAGTAGCCTCCTTTGACTCAAATCAGTAATCAGGCTGAAATGGGATGAAGGAAACCTGGAATATTCTCCTAGAATGGTAACTCTCTGTGGCTATAGGGAACAGTGCAACATTCCTGTGTAGTGACTAATGGACTTCATAGAAGCTGTCCACTGCACTCTGCTTGCCTTTTTTAATTGTGCGTGACAAAATAAAAGGGACTTGGGGGTGCTGATCGACAGGAGGCTGAACATGAGCCAGCAGTGTGCTCAGGTAGCCAAGAAGGCCAATGGCATCCTGGCCTGCATCAGGAACAGTGTGGCCAGCAGGAGCAGGGAAGTGATCCTTCCCCTGTACTCTGCATTGGTGAGGCCACACCTTGAGTATTGTGTTCAGCTCTGGGCCCCTCAGTTCAGGAAGGACATTGAGGTGCTGGAGCGGGTCCAGAAAAGAGCAACGAGGCTGGTGAAGGGACTTGAGCACAAGTCCTATGAGGAGAGGCTGAGGGAGCTGGGGTTGTTTAGTCTGGAGAAGAGAAGGCTTAGAGGCGACCTCATCACTCTCTTCAACTACCTGAAGGGAGGTTATAGCCAGGCGGGGGTTGGTCTCTTCTCCCGGGCAACCAACAATAGGACAAGGGGACATGGGCTCAAGCTCTGCCAGGGGAGGTTTAGGTTGGATGTTAGGAAGAAATTCTTTACAGAGAGGGTTATCAGACATTGGAATGGCCTACCCAGAGAGGTGGTGGATTCACCATCCCTGGAGGTTTTTAAAAAGAGATTGGATGTGGCCCTTAGTGCCATGATATAGTAATTGGAGTTGGATCAGGGGTTGGACTTGATGATCTTGGAGGTCTCTTCCAACCCTACCTATTCTATGATTCTATGATTCTATGATAAAGACTAGAGATAAGAAAGCACTTTAGAAAATGCCATTTTTTAATGTAAGGGGGGGTAAAAATTTTATTAGACAAGCTTTCAAGTACACAAACAATTCTTAAGGATTTGTCTCATTTATGTTTTTTTTCATTTGATTTGTTTTCTCAGCTATGTTTGTAGCTGATAAGATGCAAACTTCCCTATGCACCTTGGCTTCACTTGCATCATTGTATGCTACAACATTACCTCTATTCAAAACTGATACAGTTCACACATGGAAAAGTGAATGTGAGACCAAAATCTAAGATGGTTATGAAGTCAGTGTGGTGATAAGAGTGAAAGCAGAGTGGGCTTTTTAGTGGGTTTGTTATTGTTGTTGTTATTCAGTGGGTTTTGGAGATTTTTTTGTAACACTACAATTGAAGATGAACCGTTGCAAGGAAAAGGTCTCTTAATAGATGGTGGAAGATTTCACAGTCATGTGTTAGTGTACTTTATTTTGAGCTAACACTACATGACTCTATGTTTTGTGTTAAATTCAAAAAGCTGTAGAACCAGTCTCATGCACAGATTGCTGCCTGTAGGCAGTAATAATATGCAAAGCTTATATAACTGTTAACATTTTCAAGCTCTGTGCAGGTATAAGGTAATTAATGATTACTGAGTATAATAAATATGATTTTAGTCAGTGTCAGATGTGTCACATGGTTCCAAAAGTTACATACATATATACATTTTATATGCAGGGTTTCTGCATGTGTTTTGGTATAAATTGAGTTCACCAAGTCTTCAGATCAGAAAATAATGTAATTAATAAATGTGTAATTAATAAATAGCTATATTAATTACATTTTCACAGAATGTGTTCATGATATGGTGAGTCACAGAATCCTTTTATTCTTCTCACATGGCACCATTTACTGGGAGAAAAGCTGCAAATGACCTGCTGTGTCATTAGTCTCAGAAATAACTATTTCAAGGTTTGTTCCTTTCAAAGTCAGAAAGGAATACTTGATCCCCTGAACATACCCAGCACACAGTAAAATCTTGCGTGAGACACCATGTATCTTGCAGCAAATTAAAATGAAGAGCGTGGTGTTCACAGAGTAATGACTGCAGGCATGCTGGTTCTTGGAAACCATTTTAATTTATAGTCATAAAATACAGGGACACTACATTCTTCCTAAGAATCTGGATCCTGCATTCCTGTTGAGGCTCTTAAGTTAATCATTGCAATAACAGACATGCATTATTTAAGTACCTGAACTTTACCATATCTGCCACTAACAATCTTGTTACAACTAACCTTATTAATAAATTTGTGCACCAAAATGATTTCAAAACTTTCAAATAGCAGGTTAGATGTAAATTTCTTCAGCATTGAAAAGAAAATTTTTTCTGAAGGAGACAGCTGCTGAGAACAACATATAAACTGATTCATAATTGTACTGAAACAGCTATGAAGTCTATAATTATGGAGTCAGATATTGAAAAATTATCTATCTGTATAAAGTAGATGCTTAAATTTCAAGATCCAGCCAAACATGGCTGGAGTTCAAAATTCAAACAGTAATTGTTGTAATGTAAGTACCATGTAATCTCAGAGACAGCTCTACTTATTAATGTCAATTTTTCTTCATTTTTAATTTAATAAGAGGACATAATAAGCTGTCATATATGCTTTTAAACTGTTAATAGTTCTTATTAAACAGATAGAAAAAAATATAAACTCATGAGAAAGTGAGAGAGGGAGAGTAAGAAACTAACACCAGCCTGATGTTTCCTTAAGGATCAAAGCCATTCAGCATATTCCTGTGGCCTTAAGAAAGGAATATATTTTTTAGGAATTATGTTTTTGGTAAGATGTTAGTATTAGAGGTGATAGTAAAGAATGAATGTATAAATCCTGTGTCACGCTTTCTGATTATTCAAATTCTTGTGTATTTTTGTTAATGGATAAACCAAGAGAATGGATAAACATTGCATTAACAAAAGCAAATGATTGGTTCTCTTTGATCTTAAAGGGAAGAATGGCTTAAAAAAAATCTATGTGTCACATACAGGTATCTACTGAATAATTTTAGATTGTCTTAGTTAAATAAGGGAATCTCACAAGCTGTATTAAAAATACCAAGGCTTCTGTAACTCTCATTCTTAATGGTCTTATCTCAGTTTCATATTAATCTCATTGAAATTGCTTTTTGTATTAATGTAGCTTAATTTAGAAGTGTGCCTTAGCTACATAAACTGAACACTGAACTCCCTTAAACTAATACTGACTTACTAGATTACACTTTAAATTCAGTTTAACCTTCCCTATAGAAGCCTAGACTCAATGAATCTATGAAGCCACTGAAGCTGGAAGGAAAGCCCCAATTCTATTCATCCTAGGGTCTATAAGAGCCAAGGCTCCAGACATATGGCAAAAAGATGCTTTCAGCTAATTCAATTAGTTGAAGTCTCTGCTTTGAACTGAAAAAAAACTTTTACAAAGCAAAGATTTCATTCTTATGGATATTTAAGGTATAAAATATATCTTTTATATTTCATTTGAAAAGCAGCCTTCTGCACACAGATCACAAGGTACATGAAACTGTACATGAATTTTCATTTGCGCTTCTTTTGTTTGTTTAAGTTCTCAGATTATCAGAACTACATTGTGAATAGTTGTGTGAAAGAGAATCCAACAATGGAAAGATCAATTTCTCTTTGCAATGGTATCTCTCAGTGGGTGCAGCTAATGGTTCTCAGCAGACCAACACCACAGCTTCGGGCCGAAGTGTTTATCAAGTTCATTCATGTTGCACAGGTCAGTTAAAATCTGACATGTTTGGTGCTTATTTTGTCTTTCTCTGATACCTTTATATTTAGATACCTTGATAGCCTATTTTTTTGCTCTTCCCATGCTACTACTGTGGAGACAACTGGGAGTGTTGGCGCTGGCCTCCTGGTTCATATACACCACATGCGTATTTGTGTATGCTGTGCTGTCAAATCAAGTATTCAGATATTACAGTGTCAGGGCACCAGGACTTTCTCATATTCATTGTGAGAAAATAGAAAACTAGAAAAAACTGAAAAACTAGACTTGCTTTAGAACCAGCAGGTGAGATTCCAAGCAGTGAATGGAAAGCTGTACCTTTCCAATGCATGAATCACTCCCATGCCTTTGGCCATAATTAAAAACATTCCACTAGAAACGCCTTTCCAGATAAAAGCAGAGCTACAGTCCTATTAATATTCTTTGCGTACTAATTCAGCTGTAGTCATAACCAAGATAATACAAATGTTTCTTGGTTGTGGTGGACTATGGGAAGAGGGAGAAGTACTGAGGAAGTACTTTGAAGACTTACTGTATCTGCACATTTAATATCTGATTTAATAACAGTAGGATAAGTCCATGTTACACCCAGTGAAATCACAATTCATTACTAAAATACATGAAGTCAAATGGCACAAAACTTGTAAGACTTCAGAGTAAGACAATAGAGGAAATATAAAATTTGTGTGCACGTTGAATGACTCAAAACTTTTAATAATAAATACTGATTTTTTGTATGTCAACACAGAAGCTCCACCAGCTGCAGAATTTCAATACATTAATGGCAGTGATAGGAGGTCTCTGTCACAGTTCCATTTCCAGGCTTAAGGAAACAAGCTCATGTGTGCCTCATGATGTAATTAAGGTTGGTATTGCTTCTCTAAGTTTTACAAATAAGATAACCTTTAACTTTTTTGTCATTGCACACACGAAAAGCAGCCTTGCTTCATTGGATAAGATGAAAAGACAGAACAAAAATTCCTTGGGTTTTTATTTGTCATTTCATCTCTACATCACCAGTTACTCCTACCCTTCTTCCAACTCCAACTTTCTTCAAGACTTGTATAGACTCTCTAAGGTTTCTCTTTTAATCCTTAGATGTGACAAGCTGCATTTTCATGTATATGCAGTAGTATCAAATAGCATTTAAAAACGAAAACAGAAAATTGGATCCTAGAACATTTGAGAACAAAACTATTGTCATTCATAGCAACATTGACCATCTTGAGTCTGTGAGAGCTCTTCACTTTGAGTTTAAAACTGAAAGGACTGGTCTTGTTCATCATATCTTTCCCAGTGACGGATTTTATCTAGTTCAGACTTAAACAAATTTAGCCCTAATACACACATTATAATACAGTGGAATGTTAGGAATCTTCTTTAATTTCCAGGTAAATTCTTGTGAAATACAGATGTAAGCTACTAAAAATGTGAACAAAAGCATATTTTTTAGCAATAAAATGGCTTCTTAAGAGAATAAGTTACTTTATTATTTTATTTTGTCTAGGGCCTGAAAGATTTTGTGTAGGTATCTAATGAGCATGTTTTGATCACTGTATGATCAACTTGAATAACAGTGCATACCTGGAGTATAGACCTGAAGTATGACCTCCCACTGGTAATGGTTGCAGCACTCAGAATCTGTAAAATCAGTTAGCAAGGTTATTTTATAAACATGTCGTTTTTCACATTTTGTCATTATACAGACTACATGTGTGTGCATCATTTGAGTAACTTTTTGTATCAAGAAATCATATACAAGCACTAACAGAAAGCAGGTAAAAACAGGCTGGTAATTAGTGACTTCAGAACACATTTTAAGGTTTAACTATAACACAAAGTTTGTAAAGGTTACAAATCAAGGGGTTTGACAGGAACTTCCCAAAGAAAACATTGGTCCGTTGATTTTATAATGTTAAGAGTCAATTTTGTATTTCTATAGTATTAAACAAGGGAAATATTCATACTGCTAGACTGAAGATTAATTTAGCCTTTGCAACAAACCCAATATATTGTTTCTAATTCATGGAAGAATTTTTCTTCAAAGCACAGATGCGCCACCTTGAACCGTAGTACAAGTTCTGATCACACTGCAATGGGATGATAGCACAGCATAGGCTTTCTCTGCCAAGACTTTTCCAGCAATTCCAGCTGGTGACATGAAAGTCAGAGAAGTGCATTCCACATTTTAAGGTGCAGATGGATGCTTTTGTGAATGTCAGAGAGCTTGTGCTTATGCGTTAATTGCATACAGATCCCCTTGATTTGAGAGGATCTTATTTCTTTCCATTTGACTAAATGGGGAATGTAGGGAGACCAGCATTATAGATTAGGCTGTAGAATAACTAGCTATAATTATATATTAGTACTTAGATTAGAGGTATAGGAAATCTAGAATATCCAGATTTCATTTAAAATTTTAAAGTCTGTTTCAAGAATCATTGCGAGTAAACTCCTTCACAATAACATGGGAAGTTCTTGTGCTGTATGACAAAAAAAGAAACAGTAACTAGTGTTGATTTTTTTTGTTTTCCTTTTATTTTTAGGTGTTTAATGAAATGACAGAACTGCTTTCATCCTACAGAAATTATGATAGTTACCGACGGGCCTATAACGAGTGCAGTAACTTTAAGATCCCAATCCTTGGGGTCCACCTGAAAGACTTGATATCACTTTATGAGGGCATGCCAGACTACTTGGAGGACAAAAAAATTAACATATACAAACTATACTCTTTGTATAACCACATAAATGAGCTGATACAACTCCAGGAAATGCCACTTCCCCTGGAGGCTAATATGGACCTTGTTCATTTGCTTACAGTAAGTCTGTTACATTAAATAAATACCTCCATTTAAAAATTTCATATACCTCTCAAACAACTAAGTAGAGAATTCCATTAATTAATTAATTATGAATACTAATATTGTAAGATTTTTTTTCCTTAAAGAGAAATGTACAGTAATAGAAGAGAAAAAGCTGCTGATACTGATTTATCTGTCAGCAAGAGCAGAGGTGCCAGTATGCTTCTAATTATTTCTATGAGGGAAGGAATTGTTTATTTCTGCTTCACTATAGTAGTGTGCGCTCTCTGTACTTTCAATAAAGAAGTGCTCTGAATCCTCTTCTGATTGAGCCTAAACAGGGAGAAAGACAGAAAGCTTCCTTAGATGCACCCTGGAGGCAGAAGATTGCATACAAATATTCCTTGTGTTGAAAATACCAACTTTCACATAAAAGTTCAGTCCCTCAAGATACCACATCTCCAGCCAGGTTTCTTCTGGTACTTAAAAAACTGACATAGTTGTTGTATTACTCTTCCAGTCATATTCTAGTCAGTGCTATGCTACTAAAAAAACTGATACTACCTAGGACATCTGTTACAACAATAGTTTTAACTTCTCCTAGTAAGTTAAAATACTACCTTTTATTAAAATAGTAAATCCACCTTTTGGTTTCTCAGTTTTGTTTAGCCTTGACAAGTATCTCAGCTTGGAAAAACTAAATAGTCCACTTCCTCTTTCTGGTTATAAGCCCTGTTTCAGGAAAAAGCTAATAGATAAAAATGCTTATGTGCCTGAGGTTATTTGTTACCTCTGGGAGCACTCTTGTGTGAAATTAAGCACAGGTGTCCAAGGCCTGAAATAAAGCAATGTGAATTTCTTACTTCTTCTTGCTATTTGTTTTAAATGTTTTGTCTGAAATAATACTGTTTTTTTTCTTTTAAATAATGTTTATAAAAATGGCTATTACAAATATGTAGAACTTAGGCCACAATTTCATACAGCTATATATGACAGGATGTAATTGAAAAGAAATACTTTCTTTCAGTGCAGGAGTTTCTGAAGTTCTAATACTCTGGGGCAAATAATTTTTTATTTTTTTCCTGATTTTTTCAACAGTCTTCCTCCTTCTTCTGTTTCCTTTACTCATATGCCTTCCCATTAACAGGCAAATCAGTATGAAGAGGTATTAGTAATCCCATACATAAATCATGAGAGAAGTAGCATAGCATTTGGACTTTTGCTTTTGAGTGTCAGAAACTACTTTAAGATTTCCCCAAGAATCTACAATTACTGACTATTTTTAGTACAAAAGTAATTTTTGCAGTTGTTCACAGGAAAGTTACTGCATATCTGGAACTTGAATAAGGCTATTCATTGAATAAAATAGCTTATTCTTGTTTCTTAATTTATATACTTATGACTGCAGCAATTTTGACTCTGTAAAATGTTTACATTTTCTTTGGACTTGTCACACATTGAGGCTCATAACACATTTACACCTGGCTTTCTATTGAAATATTCAAAAACTGTCATGTTACCACTCTTCATCTTAGCTTGAAATTTGTTTCCAGTCTTTAAAATATTTGCTGTACTATTTTCCAGGACACATGCAAAAGCAAAGCTAAATTTGGTAATATTTACCCAGGTATAATGTTCTTCCCTTTACACATAACTGCTGTTGACAGCTAAATGTTCTCACTAAATATATCCTAGTCCATCTTTTATCCTCATCTTATACTTAGCTCAACACAGTCACATGTGACATGTTTAAACAAGAGTTTTCTGAGAATTTGAGACGACGGACAGTTTCACTGGAATGGTGCTTTTGTACTTAGCTGCACAGTAGACCACTCGAATATTATGGGAGTGACAGTTTTTTTCAGGTTATGTATTAACTGACTGCTAATTATGCCTGCAGTCACTTGCTGTGCTAATGACTGTAGCAGTGTAATGTTACAGATGTCCAGATAATGGCAATAGCAGTCTGGAATGTAGAATTGTACTCATTTCCAATCACTGTGAACACCTGTGCAGCTCAAGTGCACTCTTCTAGGTGCAACCTAAATTAAAAAATAATGCACCAAAAAATATGAATGCACTCCAGAAACAAGTTTATAAAGTAGTACCAACTGTTTTGGAATTAAACTAATATGTTTGTTTTCAGCTGTCCCTTGATCTTTACTACACAGAAGATGAAATTTATGAGCTTTCATATGCACGAGAGCCACGAAGTCACCGAGCTGCTGTAAGACTCTTAGCAAAAGTTTTTTTATGAGTAATGTAAATTTTATCCCTTGTGTTAATTTAATTTTGTTTTAATTTATTTTATGCTAAATTGAAAGCATTTTAGCCTTATACACTGAGTGAAGCATAAATTATTTGACTGATGATTAAGTGTAAGCTAGAATGCATGGGAGAGTTGACACCATATCAGGTTTTATAATGTGAACACAAAGACAAATGAAGATAATTGTGTAGAGACATAACACCAGTCTCAGTCTTGGCAGTTGACACTCTTTCTTTCAAATAAAGAATTCTTATATGATTCAAATGATGAGACCTATGAATGTTATATGGTAGTTTTGTTCCTGTTTTATAAATATGGAAAAGATGGTGATTTTTCAGGGCTGCCAGTGAACTGTGACAATTTAAGGAATGACTGCTGTTTTGAACAGTTCAGGGAAGAGCTTCCTCTGAAACACCATGTAACTATCGAAAGTATGATGTCAGGTCCAATAGGTCATTTCTGCAGTCCTGTATCACATAGTCCACTGTCACAAATGACAGAAGTGTAATACTGTAATACCACTCTTTCTATGTGGTACTAATAAAGTTCCATTTAATTTATTTCAGCCTTTGACACCCTGCAAACCACCAGTAGTTGCAGACTGGGCCTCAGGAGTGGCCCCAAAACCTGATCCAAAAACCATCAGCAAACATGTTCAGAGGATGGTAGATGTAAGTAAGGTTGGCCCATGTACCTTACGTATCAGTCATAGTCTCAATCTCTAGGTATGAAAAGATACAGGGATGGGAAAAAATAATGAATGCATTCAAAGTGGTGCTGAGCTTGTGAGCACTTCTGTCCTCACAAATAGATATTTTTGCCTAGCTGTAAAAAGCAGCAATGGCCAGTGAGGCACAGATGGAAATTCCTTAAATGGCTGAGAAGCTAGCGGGAAGTGTGAATGCTGGTTTGTATAGTTCCAGAGTCACTCTTTCAAGCAGCCAGGGACTCAATTTCTAAAGAGTTTGGTTTTGCATGCCTGCTTCATCTCTTTTCTTTCTAAGAACTTCTAATATTGTGAAGCATGCTTTGATACGTGCTATTTTGGAATGTATTTCTAAATCTGACTTGGTTTCCTCCTTGCCTTAGGGCCAGAGACAAACAGTAATGCATTCCACAAGTGGAAACGGGTGTCTACCTGACAATACTGTCATATAACTGATTTTCTCATAACATTGACTTGATAAAATAAGCTAGGCAGCTACACTGATTTGGCTACAGAAATCATCACTGAGAGCACTAATTGAGACCATTAATACAAGTTGTATATGTGGGCCTGGAAAAAGTGATCTTAAAGCAAAAGTAAAAAAGAACACTCCAGCTTGTGTTGACTTGATGTTTTGCTGCAAATGAAGAAATCATAATTCTTCTTTAGTTTCAAGCAAAAAAAGAAATTAAGACTGTTGCACTGTTTAATAGACACTGGGAGAAAAAGAGAGAGGAAATCCATAAATAATGTAGAGACTTTCTGAAGCGGTAATTCAGACCATCCTCATTATAAACTATTCTACTATTACCTTGTGCAGTCTGTCTTCAAAAATTATGACCATGATCAGGATGGATATATCTCCCAGGAAGAATTTGAAAAGATAGCTGCCAGTTTTCCATTCTCATTTTGTGTAATGGCAAAGGACTGGTGAGTATCTGCTTATCAACTTTGTAGCATCTGTTTTGGGAGGGATTTGGGGGGTTTTGTGTTTAAATTGTATTTCTAACATTAGGGTGGTAAAAGCATCCTCTTCATGCACAAACAGAAGTGAAAACATGACTGACAAAAGCATTTTCTAAATGTGTTGTGAATGACATCTTCAAGGGCTTACAGCAGTGGTAACCAAGCTGATTTAGAAGGAAGAACAGATAATAGAAAAAGAACTATTTTTTTTAATATTCAGTATATACTGCAAAAGATATTTTGTAAGATAAAGCTGTCCCTAAAAAATAGATAATTGGCAAATGTATATTTTTATAAAATTAGGAAAATTTTTATTAACATATTAAAGCGTAAAAAATTACAATAGTGATTATTCAGATGCTTAATATGAAGTAGTTTTGAGGTTGCATGACATATGCAGATATTCCATTTATCCTTACAGTCTGCATTTTAAATGTGTAGATAGGGTTCTGTATATTTTGGGAACAATTTTACGCCCATTAAACTACTGCTAGTATGTGAACAAAGATATATTTAATTCTCCTTATGCTTTTAACAAAATATATATCTCAAAACTTTTTTTTTTCTTTCAGGGAAGGTCTGATTAGCAGGGATGAAATAACAGCTTACTTTATGAGGGCTAGCTCAATCTATTCCAAATTAGGACTTGGCTTTGCTCACAACTTCCAAGAGACCACTTACTTAAGGCCTACTTTCTGTGACAACTGTGCTGGATTTGTAAGCTTTCTTTTTAGTAAATTATGTTAACGTTATTTGGAATAATGCCTTTTTTCTCTCATAATCACCTTGTGTCATATACAGAAATGGATCTATGTAAAACATCAGTGAAGCTATATAGAACATCAGACTTGTGTCTGTGTAGCTGTTTAAGGTATCCTTTACACCCCTCTTGGCAGTATACTAGTATCTCTTTAAACATGGGTCATACCTTGGGGTGTTTGGTTGTGCACCAAACACAGTCTCAGGCAAGACTTCCAAATCCAGAGCCTTCCACCCCACGGGGCTGATAGAACTCATGTTCTTACACAGACATAACATGACCCCTGCCTGTGGCACAGAAAGATTTAATAAAACTGACTGTCCTGCCAATCTTCTGTTCAGCTGAGATCAGACAAGGGTGCTGAGATAGAAGAATTCTCCATCTACTCCAGCTCCACAATTTCTCAAGGGGGCTATCAGATCTGCTGATGTGTTCATTAGAGACTAGATCAAAGTATTTTGCTTGTGATTGAGGAACACACATGAAATACTCTGTTTACCTTATGTAAATAGTTCAGATTTTGACCTTACCATTAAAAGTGCAGGAAAACAAGATATTCTGCAAGTGCTCTGATCTTAGAAAAGAGTGGAGCTTTTAGTGTATTTTTATATTTGGAGGTATCAAACATGCAGAGAAATATATTAATTTGTTTGTTTGAATTTTAGCTATGGGGAGTCATTAAACAAGGATACAGATGCAAAGGTAAGGTACTTTATACTTTGTTAATTTTAAACTATAATTGATAGTGAATGGCAAAAACCCCTGATCATCCTGCGATCCTTTGCTGTGTCTATGGACCTATTTAATCTGACCTCTCAGGGAGGAGAAGACTGATTCAAGAATGGTACAACAGATGGTACAGAAGAAATGCAAAGATGAAGGAACTTGTAAATGACAGCTCTAATGCTTTGCAAGACATCACTGAATTTAGAGGGTTTGGGAACAGACCCTGGGGCACAAACATCAACAATCTGTGAATACTGTGCAGCACATTACCAACATATATTTTGTAGTTTTCTTCTTCATCTGCTTTCTCTGCAACTCCTGCAGTCAGAAGACTGTTGTGACTGAATATTGCCATTCTATATTTTCATAATGAAAGGGAGTTTCAGATGTATATAGTAAAGGGATGTCATTGATCTGTTTACCAGATGTATGTTGTTACAGGTAACGTACGTAGAGAACACTAAAGGTTTCGTGCTTCCCAGGGAGCCAACACAGTGTGAGAGCTAGCTTAGATGCTACACCAGAGCCACTGAGTCACGTAAACTTTGTTTTGTTTATAGACTGCGGAATGAACTGTCACAAGCAATGCAAAGACCTGGTTGTGATAGAGTGCAAGAGAAGACCCAAAACTTCAGTTGCAGACAGCAGCCCAACATCTGCTCTTGCATCAAGCCTCTGCCCAGTAGGAGTCAAAGAGCAATTCCATGGTAAGAAAAGATCACATTAAAAAGATCAAAAGATCTAGATAATCTTTCCCTTGCTCCTTTTTTTTTTAAGCTGAGTTGGTACAGCATCGTTTTAGGTTTTGTTAATTAACTGCAGTGTTTTATCAACATAGAAACTAGAACCAGGTGTGAGTTCGTATCAAGTAGCACCATTGCAGTTCTAGGCTGAATAAAGATGGACTCCCTTTCTGGGAGATCTCTTGTCACACTACGCAATGTATGGTACACAAATTCCACAAAAAAAAAGAGTACATCTTCTGCCAGACTCTCACAAGAACTAGATGCCATGACCAGAACAGCTGACAGGTTCCCTTAACTGTCTCACCTTGTGACAAGCAGGTCTTGTTTTTTAGCACTGTTGTAACATTGACTGTCGCACTGTTATAATTCTGACTCAGATTTTAATGTGGAGTTTATAAAGTCAGTTTACTTATATATTTGTGTGATGGGAAAGCCAAGATGTTGTCTTTATTTTTTCCACTTTGGCAGGTGAATCTGTAATTCCTCTCCATCCGTCCATTTTTCACAGAATCAGAGATGAAAAATCTACACCTCTCTGTTCTTTTCTCCTTGTATCAAACAAGCTGTATAAACATTTCATATTGTGTATTACCATGTAGGCTCCCAAAGGAGTAAGTGTTGTCCTTGAAAAAGAACAGGCTATGTTTGTTTTAATTTTGATCTTGATGTTCCAACTCTCTCCATATTCACTTTCTTTGAATTTCTCTCCTGCTCTTTGCCTATATCTAATATTCTTCAAATCTGCTTCCTGCCACTTTGATTATCAATCTTTTCTGTTGTACTTAATATTCATACTCCTGGATTCAGTCTTAGTTTTCCTATTAGCACTTACATGAAGCTCAGTGTGGTCAATTTCTCTTGACACTATGTGCATCTCTATGATTGCACCTGCAGCACTATGTAATAACCAGCTCAAGGGATGTCATGCTTATAGAGACTGAAATGTAGTGTGTGGCCTGGTCCATCACCACCCAGTACACCAGAATGTGGTACCTCTCAACACTATGTCATGTCAAAGCATGAGAATTCAGGTCTAGATTGAGGATGTACAGATAAATTGCTCATCCATATCCACATTTAATTCTCCAGAGCCTGAAGCAGCTACTGGACTGCTTGTTCTTTCCCCTCGTGCCTGAACATACAGTCTTACTCTGCTATCTTCCCAACAATAGAAATTACTGAAACAGGTCTTTTTAAAATCCTTTAATCACATCTTTTACCCATGGCTTCTACCATTGTGGGTTTACCCTCCCCCTGTTTTTACTTTTAATCGCAAAAGTAAAAATATTTTAGGATGACATATACAAAAGCAGGGTAAAATTAAAAACCACAATTATTTCACTTTATAAAGTGGGTAATTTGTATCTTAGAATCATAGAATCAGCTGGGTTGGAAGGGACCTCTGAGATTATCAACCACTGTGGTTACTAGACCATGGCACTAAGTGCCACATCCAGTCTCATCTTAAAAACCTCCAGGGACGGAGAATCCACCACTTCCCTGGGCAGTCCATTCCAATGCTTGATTACCCTCTCTGTAAAGAATTTCTTCCTAATATCTAACCTAAACCTCCTCTGGCACAGCTTAAGACCGTGCCCTCTTGTCCTACTGCTGGTTGCCTGGGAGAAGAGACCCACCCCCACCTGGCTACAACCTCCTTTCAGGGAGTTGTAGAGAGTGATGAGGTCTCCCCTGAGCCTCCTCTTCTCCAGACTGAACAACCCCAGCTCCCTCAGCCTCTCCTCATAGGGCCTGTGCCCCAGTCCCTTCACCAGCCTCGTTGCTCTTTTCTGGACCTGCTCCAGCACCTCAATATCCTTCCTGAACTGAGGGGCCCAGAACTGGACACAGTACTCCAGGTGTGGCCTCACCAGCGCTGAGTACAGGAGAGGAATCACTTCCCTGGTCCTGCTGGCCACACTGTTCCTGATCCAGGCCAGGATGCCATTGGCCTTCTTGGCCACCTGGGCACACTGCTGGCTCATGTTCGGCTTCCTGTCAATCCAAACTCCCAGGTCCCTTTCTGCCTGGCTGCTCTCCAGCCACTCTGTCCCCAGCCTGTAGCCCTGCAGGGGGTTGTTGTGGCCAAAGTGGAAGACCCGGCACTTGGCCTTGTTGAACTTCATCCCCTTGGAATCAGACCATCTCTCCAGCTTGTCCAGGTCCCTCTGAAGAGCCCTTCTGCCTTCCAGCAGATCAACACTCCCCCTCAACTTGGTGTCATCTGCAAATTTGCTAATGGTACACTCAATCCCCTCATCCAGATCATTAGTAAAGATATTAAATAGAACTGGGCCCAACAATTAAGGAAGATAATTAATGAAAATCAGAAGCAAAAGAAACAAGAGCAGCTAAATAAAAGAATCCTTTATTGACTCAGAAACTACCCCCAAATTTCTGCAACCTGTTATTTTCAACTTAAAGAGAATACCTATGTAATTTTTATCCAGTACTGGTTTACTAATCAAGGAGCAGTTAAGGAAGAATCTTTTCACTGATGAACTTGTCCATGTTTGTGACACACTGTAAAGTCATACCCAGATTACCGAATCTCCACTTTACTCCTCACTCCCACCAGCAGGCTCATGAGGAAATCCTATTACTGTAACAGTGAAATAAGCTGAGCTGCCTTACAGCTGCAGAATACATTGCCCAGCCTTGACTGGTGACAGAGCTATGAGCACAAGGACTTTGACATACACCTGTCTGCCAGAGGACAAGAATACAATAAATATGAGAATCTACACTATAAACCACATTCCCAAACATGACAGTTGCCCTAGATTAAGAAGGATAAGCGTGAGTTTAAAAAAAACCACCACAATATCAAAAGCAGTGCCCAGATAAAAGAGCAGTGAAAAATACTCAAAGAAACGTAAAACAAATTGTCACAGCCAAATAATTCTCAAGTTTTCACACATTCAGCTGTAAAAAAGCAAACCAAATAATTAAAACTAGATGGAGATGAATATACTTGACTATTCGACATACAGTGTAATCAATGACCTTGGTAACACTAAATATTTATGAAATTGCTTTGGAAGTTCACATACGCTCTAAAAATTGAATGAAAACAAATCAGCTGTTGGATCTGTTTGAGACAAAAATATCAGCTTCAAAATCTGCTATATAAAAATACATAGTTATTCTACTGTTAACAAAAAAAGCATATCTTTATGTATTGAACATGACATTTTTCACTTGTTCATAATTTTGTACTCCTTTAAAAGCATTTAGCTCACATTTAATTATCATGTTCAATATATTAATTAATTATCATTATCCTCTGTCAAAACACAGCAGTAATTTTTGTTTAACACCTTTTGCACAGATAATCATATATACATGCACCTCCAGGGTTTCTAAGATTTTGAAAAATCCTGACCTGCGGAGAGGTATAATTTTATTAGTTTAAGTTAAACTATTAACATTTTAAGGAAAGAATATTGTCCTAATTAGTCATAAGGTGTACTGTACAATTGCAGGAAGATCACCTAAAATCACAAAATAATTTTAACCATCCTCTGCCTCTCTTCCATATACCTGCAGATAACTTCAGTATTTATCTAACTGTAAATACATTTTTGTTTGACCTTTATATCTGGTGAACAGGACAACTCTTTTGTCTTTTTCCCTTAAACTACATAAATACTCCACTGTACAGGCATCATTTCATCTATAAAATTACTACACACCAACAGTTAAAAGCAACATATTAATTTAAATAGGAATAAATTCTAGGAAATGTACCCAAATATTTTAAAAAGCATTCTTCTCATACTTCACTTAAATGTTATTTTAGCTTAATTTTATAGTTTCTTTTCATTCTCTACTGATATGTAAAAAATAGGGAACTATTTTTCACATATCAGAAAGCAAATTACTTCGGAAAAAAAAATTTACAAGTCTTTTGAATAGCATCACTTAAGAAGCTTTTCAACTAAACAGTATTCCAATGTAACTTTGTAATTAGGTGTAAAATTCACACTATCTTGACTGGAAAAAAGCCAGATGTGAGCATGAGTTAAAAAGCACAACATTGGCATAAACTTTTCTGAATCTTTAATCAATGGTCCTTTAGAATTCATGGGGCTTTTGGCACTAAATTTCAGAATGGCTCCTAGAGTTGCCCTTTACAAACACACTTTAAAAGGGAACAGCACCTTAAACAACTAAAAAATTGCTATTAGTTTTTCAGTACTATACAATAAAATAAAATATATTTAGTGGTAGAAGGCTGTAATACTGTCAATTTCTCTCTCACATTTTCCTATGTATGTTGATAACCACTATCCCAGTTAATGACAGGAGATGCAGAAGATATTAGCTATGATTGTATATTCAAAGTTTGAGCTACTACAAAACTCAGTTTGAATGAAGAAAGCAATTCTCATTTTATACTAGTCTTTTAAATAAACTAAAAATTATTTAAAACAATCAATGTTCTAATGTTCCATACCAAAACACAATGTGTGATCTGTCCCTTTGGTAGATTGCTGCTGCACAGCCAAACTACTCTCAGAACTACTCCCACAGCTACTGAGAATGCTGAAGATGCTAGACAGAGACAAAGAGTAGACATGTTGAAATGCTACAGATACATAGACTACATAGACTAGATCAGTATGTAAGTTTCTATTATGAGTGATATAATATTAAAAATCAACAGTGCAACTTAATGCAGAATCTAATTAAATCAAAAGCCACAAAATATTTGCAAAAATATTTTGCAATCATTTCATGTGAATTTTTGTGAGAATATTAAAAAAGGTAACAAATGGTGCTCAAAAAAATGTTTACAAAGCCAATGAACTTTAATTGGTGGTATTACCTTTCTAATGCAGCTATACCTATAAACATAGGTCTCTAACTCTGTAATGTATCAAAATAACTCTGAAACTGTCCTATATTAGAGTAATGGGTGAAGGACAAGCAAACAGATAGTAGAAATTCTACAAAATCTAAGAGGTAGGAAAAAATCCTTTGTTTATAAGGGATGAAACATGCAGAGAAAAATTTACACTATTAATTTGGAGGCACAGAAGATGAACAAACTACTTTTGCTGCATTTCTAGACTCTGAAGTGAGTACAAGTGGTATAACCACTATGGAACTGACTGACCTTAAAACTACTGGAAAATAGCCCAGACAGTACTATTTAAAAAAATAAAATAAAAAAAGATAACATGCTTTAAAGATTTTGTTCACTTTAGTACTTCTGAAACCATAACAGTTTACACAAACTGTGACAGCAACACTACACACACAATTGAAGCCTGTGGTCTTATCTGATAGGAAATCTCAGACTTTGCAAAAGGTGGCAGATACCAGGTGTCTAATAATTCAAACAAAATCTTCTAGAATCACTACCTGTGTATGAATGAACTGGTGCACCAGGTCTGGTCTTGCTGTCCCACAACTGCAGAACTAGAGTCCTATCCCCATAATGGGATGAAAGTAAATCTGTACCTGACAAGTGAAGCAAGGAAGGCCACTGGCCATAGCTGCAGCATACAACACATGAATGTAAACACAGGTAACACCCACAGAGGGAGATCAGCAGTAGCAGGCCAGTTTAAATCAATTAGTTATTAGCTGTAACTCAGACATTTTAATTCTCAGAAAACAGTGCTAGAACTGTTTCTTCATCCTTTCAAAAACATATAACAGAAAGACTAAAGATTTCCTTAGAACTAAATAGATCAAGCAAAGTTAATAGTGCAGGAATAGGCATTTTCATTGTCACCTTAATTTTTATAAATCAAAGGTTTTGTCTTGTCAGGCTAAAGACATACAGATGTAACAAAACCATGTAACAGACCCTCTCCCCAAAATCTCTGAATGTTCAACTGCTCACTGGTTGATGAGGAGAAAGTTAAAAAGAATAATCAATGTAAAATCATTCAGAAGCATGTAAAGGCATGTAAAAAGACTCAGAAGCAGAAGGAGTTTCATTTCCCTCTTAAGGGGGGTTGGTCACCCACTCTCTAGAGAGAGAAATAATACTAGAGAGAAATAAAAGTAAAACTTTCAGCTGTCTGACACAAAAGATAAATGCCACCTCAAGAGCCTATGTACATTCTGCAATAGGGAAATCAGACTAAAAATCATGACAGTGAAATGAGTTAGAACCTGGAGGGACACTACACAAAGAACTATCCTGTTGAATAAGGCTTAAGGTGGCTGACTTGAGATGGCTGACTACTGGCAATTCAGGTATTTTCATCCTCTTCTGCAACTAAAGCAATGGCACTAACAAATCAATACTTGCAATTAAGAAATTGACAAACTAAAAAGAACTAATTTAAATTTTGGATATTACATTTAAATACATCCCAGAAATAATTAGAGGTACATAAATGCACAATCAGTTATTACCCAAAATCTTCTGCTTGCTGCAGCACATTTGAATGGGTAAGAGGAAATCTGATACCTTAAACTTGCATGGCAAAGTATGTCTCATTATGTAGATGGCAACCTCAGGGAAATGCTGAAACTTCATCTCATAACTAAAATAGTTTAACTTAAAACACTAAGGTGGCTTTCAGAATTAAAATTCCCTCACATTTGTCAGGTAGGGCTTTTATAGACAAGGCTGCTGGGCCCTTAACTCTAGGATGAATGCTTACAGAGATAATGCTTATAGTTTAGCAATAGAGAGAACACATAAAAGCCCATACCTTTTGTTCCACATTGGTTAACAAGGGAAGAATACCAGAAGACGAGGAGTTTGGCAGACCCAGTACATCGCAAATAGCTTGCACTTCCTGAATAATTTCATTGTGCTTTTCCAAATGAGAGCGTTTGATTTTCTTGCTGTGCAGTATCCTTAAAGCCTGAAGTTCTGTACTTAGAAATACTAAAGAGAAAAGTGTTATAATGGCAGATTTAGAGACATAAATAATTCTGCATCCACATTCACATATACACCTACAGTATATACTTATAAGACAACCATGATAAAAGGAAGACTCTCAGTTCTCTTTTGGACAGGTCAGTATCAGTTTCCTATTCTTTACCTAAACTCCCTCTCACCTGACTTCCTACCTTCAGTCCACAAATTGCATTTAACTGCTCAACTCACTTCCACCACCAGTTCCTTGGCTAGTTTTGTATTATCACACTGGTTCCTGCTGCCACTCCTTTGTCCAGCTTAAACTTTGACTTTGCTTCTCTCAATCCTGCTTTCACTACTTTCAAATCACACAGCATTTCTGTTCAAGCTGTGCAGAAACCTCTCAGAAAAGCAGGAAGCAAGGTCTCAGTTTAGGTGAACTGGAACTCAATCAAGAGAAGGATCCGGAGGCCTCAGTAGGTTGAACTATACTTTGAAAACAAATTTTAGTTTCAGCTAAACCAGTTTTCTAACACTTCTCTATTTTCCACTTCTGCACAAGTGAGCTGATGCATGCTTAGCTGAGTTGTAATGATTCTACACATCAACTTAAAGACAAATAAAGAACTCTTCAATGTAAATCATACAGTAATGATAAGGCACGCATGTAAAATACTGTATTATAGATGGGAAAAATGGTAACTACTTACACAGGAGTTTAAGACAATCTTCTTTCCCTCTTAATCTGTCCTTGATGTCTCCAGATATAAGTGATGAATATGGACAAGCCATTTCTCTCAGAAAGCCACTCATCTCAAGCTGGAAGCTCTCTATATCTTTCATACCTATGGAAATAAATGCAAAGTTTATGTCTTTTTACAGAAACATCAAACTGCAATCTAATTTTCTTAACTTATACACTTAAATTGCAGATTTCAACAGCCCAGACAAAGATTAACCACCAACCACACTAGCAACATTTTCTTTTTTTCTTGAAAAAGTCCTATGAGCAGACAAGCCTTATGATAGTGTATTGTACTCATGCTTTGAATGAGAAGGTGAATTCGTGCCTCTGAAGACACAAATGCAAATGAACATCCCAAGGAAGTGAACTGTTTATGTCACAAAATAGCGTGTCAATGCAGTTAATTTTCTGATGAAGAAATTACAGGAGTCATGAGCCCATTATTTTCAGTTAGTTTTACTATTTTTTTGGTGAAAACATAAGTAATATGAAATCTCATCCAAATTCCAGCACTCAACAGAAATTATCAGGTAACATTACCAAGCACCTCACATATCTACACACAGTGCTGAATGGAACGCTGCATTGGACCAATAAGATGAAAATATCAGGCACTGCAATTTAAGCCATAAAAATATGATTACATGTGTGAATTACTTTTTATATTTATGTAGACCGAAACCCATCCAAAATAACCTTCTTTTTTTTCTTTTGAAACAATCTTCACAACACAAGACCTTAATCTAAAAGCTACATACACAGAAATATCAGCCTCAGCTTGGCTATCTTTCAGTTATCTTGTAAACTTCAACACTGTAACTTCGTTGTTAGCTGAACAATATGGGTCTAAATCCACTGAACAAATACAAAATTGCTTTACTAAATTTGCATTCATATACCATCTCCCGAAGTGATGCTTTCTTCCATATTGCAAAGTGATTTTATTTGGGAACCTAACCAAACACAAAGCTCAAAAAATTCTGGTGAAGACAATCCATTTTCTGCTGCTTTGTTCAGTGCTTCCTCCTCCAACAGGGCACCTGTGTACCTGCACAGACAGATAAACATTAGCAATAAGAAGCAAGTTTAACATAAAATCTACATGTTTTTAAATTATTTTACTGTAAGCTAGTTAGTAACTACACTTGAAAGAATTAATCTTTGGAAGTTACTTTTGTCAAGAAATAATTTAGACTTTCTTTTAAACACACCAAAAAATTATTGGTCATTTAGAAACAAAATAGTTTGTCAGAAAACAGGAGGCAGGCATTTTCACATGATACGTGAAAACAGACTTTCAGCTCTCAGTACATGCTTAATAGAGAACTTAAGTATTAATTCAAATGTTTAGTTAAATTTCCTTCTAACATTAGCAATTCACAGCCCTAGCAATAAGACAACTGAAAATTAAACTAAATTTTACACCGTTTCTGCTCCCTAGCATCCGAAGCACATCGCGGGAGGTCGGCAGGCACCAAAGAGCGAGGTGCTGCCCGACCCGACCTCCCGGCCGCCCCTGTGTGACTGGCCCCCGGTGTGCGCCCCCGCACCCACGGAGCGGCCGCGCCCCTCTGCCCTCCCCCGTCACACCCAGGGCGAGCCCCCCGCACCCGCCGTGACCGCGCTGCCGGGCGAGGCCCGAGGCCCAGCCCCACCAGGCCCACCCGGCACCGCCGCAACGCGGGGCCCGTCCCTCCGCCGACCCCTCGCTCCCCTCCTCTCGCCTCCGCCTCCGGCCCGGCCTCCCGCCTGCGGGGGCGTTGCCCCGCTCCGCGCCTGGCCAGGTTTTCCCCGGCCCCCCGCAGGGGAAGCTGCCGCTGTTCCCCGGTTACCCCAGGGCCTCCAGCGCGTCCAAGATGTCGCTCTCCATCGCCGGGCCCGGCGGCAGCTCCCTCATGCCGGCGCCGCGCCGCGCGGTGCGCGCCCCAAACCGGCCCTCCGCAACCCGCGCCTGCCAGCGCGTTCCGCTGCCGCAGCGCGGGAGTCCGGGTGGGGGAGGCCCCCGACTGCTCCCGCCCCTCTGCCAGGCTGCGCGCGCCCGCCCGCAGCTGCTGCAGAGCCGCCGGGGGCCGCCGCGCGCATGGCTGGGGATGAACCTCTCGTGGAGGCCAGGCTGGCTCTTCCTTTCATCCCGCACTGGGGCCCTTACCCTTCCCACGGCGGGGCTCGTTTCCGGGCCTTGCGACTGTGCCGCGGACGGGGCCCAAAGCCTGCCCGGTCATCGGCTCACCCGACAGCTACCCGCTCCACTGGGCACCAGGCCCCTGAGAAATGCAGGACCAGGAGAGACCACTGCCACCGTTTGGGCCTCCGGACATGGCTTTTGCCAGGGCAGCCGGCTCTGCAGCCCTTAGAACTGCCCCAAGCCACTCTAGGACATGCTTGAAAAAAGCAGGTTTTTAGGCCTGGACCTCAGCGGTATTTCTGGGACCTCTCAAATTGTGAAATTCTGCCTGAGACGGTGCAGACCTTGTCTCCAGAGCACCTGTAGCCCTGGCTTTCCTTGATTCTGCTGTGCTGGTTTTGGCTGGTATAGGGTTAATTTCCTTCCCAGTGACTGGTATGTGGCTGTGTTTTGGATTCATGCTGAAAACAGGGTTGATAATATAGAGATTTTTTGTTATTGCTGAGCGGTTCTTACACAGAGCCAAGGCCTTTTCTGCTTTTCATACTGCCCAATGTGTGAGGGGGCTGGGGATGCATAGGAAGCTGGGAGAGGGCATAGCTGACCACAGGGATATTTCATACTGTGTGGCCTCGTGCTCAGTATATAAAGCTGAGGAGAAAAAGGAAGAAGGGGGAATGTTTGCAGTGATGGCATTTGTCTTCGGAAGTAACTGCCTTTGGGGTGGCTGAACACGTGCCTGCCTGCCTGCCCATGGGAAGCAGTGAATTAATTCCTTGTTTTGCTTTGCTTGCATGCATGACTTCTGCTTTACCTATTAAACTGTTTTTATCTCAAACCACAGTTGAGTCAAAAGTTTTCTAGCTTTTATTCCTTACTTCTTAACCTATGAGTGTTCTCAGTTTTATTCTTCAGATTCTTTCCCCAGTCTCACTGGTGGGGGAGCAAGTGAATGACTGTGTGTTGCTTAGTTGCAGGGTGGGGTTAAACCTTGACAGTCCCTTTGTTTTTTTTTACCGATGTTCTCCTACATGGACCTTAGGAAAATCCAGCGGCTGAATCTGTGATGAAGACCCATAAAGACATATAATCAGATGGAAGTAATTACAACATAGATATTCTTAATGTGTGAAATCTCCACAATTTTTGAAGCAACTATTTTGAATTATTTCTCTTTAACAGAAGACATGGTTTTCTTGAGTGCTAAACTTTAAAAAGTGGGAATCAGGACAGCCACGACATCCTCCCACACCCACAGACAGGAATCTAGACACTAAAAGCATTGTTGATGGCAGTTAGTGGAAAGAGGAGCATCCTAAAGCCTGATACGCTTATGTTGACCATATGTGTACACCAGTGCCAGTAACTCGGCGGTCTCTTTCACAGCTCTCAACTGTTGTGTACCATATGACTGAGCTTTAAAACGACTTTTGTTTCAAATGGGTTAACATGATAATTTCTGTAAATGAAGGAGTATGCATCTGAGAGCAGAGATTCTGAACATAAACTTGCTCCTTTTTAAACATTAATATCCAACTAATAGAATGAGAAAACACGATACACAGAAATAGCCAGTTCTCTTTGCTTTTGCTTTTCTTTTTTAAAGGTGTATCTCTATGCTACCCACAGTGAATCATCACTGTACAGTTGTTTTGTAGTTTTCATATAACCCAACAGTGCAACCTAAGAAAAAGAACTGGGAACAACTGGAATTGAAAATAGCATAACATAATCTATCAAAACTAGAAAGTAAACTGGCAATTTAAGAGATGGTTTGTGGTACAAATAGGTGGCAGCATTATTCCCTGGATCTCTGTACATTTTCCTACAAGCCATAAAAGTATTTTGCTAATTTATGTTACAGGACAATACATAAACTAGTTATTTCTCCCACTGTCGTTTGATAATATTGCATATCTATGATAGCCAAGGACACGCATCAGTCGCTGTTTTAATTGCACAAGATTTCTTTGAAAAATCATAACTTTTCTCTATAGTAGAGACATTATGTATATGAGGAGAAACAAGTTTGAATTTCACAAATTGTGTATGAACACCCACAATTGAAAGACATTTTTGCTTGTGGTCATATACTTAGGTTCTTCCCACAGGGTTGCCATTCTTTTACTCCACAGCTTTCTCCATGTCCATTTCTGAGTTTCCCATCTGTGAGGGGAGAAAAAGAATCTTGATAAAGCTGGCTACAAACCATTTTGTAACAATCTATGCCCATGGGAGTGGACTTTGCATTTGCCCCGTGCCCTCTGCAGTATACAAACATGAACATAAAAACACAAACACACAAGCAAGAACATTGAAGGAAGAGATCTCAGCATACAGCCAATGCTTTGAAACAAAAGGCGCATGTAGCTTGAGTTAGGTCATTGCCCTAGAGCTTTTCAGCTTTTGTCAGGATTTCTTTTTCAATAGTCTACCCATTAGCCATTTCCCTCAGCAGTCAGATAACTCTTGGTACTAGCATGAGGAAGGAGTAGAGGTACATAGCCAAGGTTAGAAAATGAAGATAGCGCTGGGATCAGCACTGACTTGAGTCAACTTGAACTGATACAAAATGGCAGCTGCAGCTGTCTGCACAGAGAGGTGAAGACAGGAGTTTCGGGGGCAGGTCTTTTGCCAATTGATATTAAATCTCTACAATTACAAGTTGCCTGTAATCTTAGTAAGGACCAAAACATGTAACTCAATTTTCTATTGAGGTAGGTAAACCCCAACTACTTACCAAACTACTTGTATGAATATGACAAGTCACAAATGGTTATGTTGTTCAAAACTGCTTGAGCAGTGTTCCTTCTGCTGGGCTTGCAATGGGCACTGGGCATTCTCATACAGCCTAATGGCAAGAATGGGTGGAAGGGTCCTGCTTACTCCTGCAGCAGACCTCTTGGTCTGCACTGCCAACAGAGCAGGCTGTGGGTTCTACGTGGTGGGTACAATACGCCTGCTCCTAGTATGGAAAGTAAAGCTGCCCACAGACGTGCTAGCTTCATGTTTCAAAAGATTCTTTGCTTTGTTCTTCTCATATGCAGCACAGGAATGAAAAAATGAGTGAAAAGTGAGTTAAATTCCTTGAATTCAAACAAGGAGAAGACAGACATTGCTTTAATGCAGAAGAGGTACAAATAATTTGTAGTACTGAGAAACATCTAGCAGACAATTAATTGACCACTAGGGGGGATCATAAGAGTGGAGAAGGAATCGAATGTACGACACTTTCCTCTCACAGATGCTCGCCTATGTGCGATGCTGTATTTTATGAGCACAGTTCAGAAATTATTAAGACATCACTCTGTGCATACTTAAGTTGATATAAGCAGCTTATATTGAGTTTTTAAAACAGATCAATAACAGGTTTAATTATTATAATGAAGGAACTTCTTTACACAGATGTTTTTTCATCAGTTTAAAGTTCAGCTTCCATCATCAGCAAATGAAGTAGATGTGAATGATGTGATACTAACTTCACCGAACCTGATAAGTACAAGAATCCTTCCCATCAATTTACAGGCTACCCTACTGAAGTTGATGTCTCATCATAAACATTTGATTTAGAAATCACCCTTCTAACATCTTCCAGACCAAACCGAGCCACCTGAAGTAGTGACATCAAGTTTTGAATCCAAAATTAATTCCTTCAAGAAACTATGCACAGTGATAAGTTCTGCAGAATTCAAAGCTCAATTTCTTGGCAATGGACTGCTCTCAAACTACTTCCTCGGGGCATATCTCTCTGCACAGGTGGTGGGGGAGAGGTCAGAACCAGGCAGTCATCAATACTGTGCACAATGACTGGAACATACAGACTTGTACTCTTTTTCCAGTATTTGACTAAGAAGATGGTGGCTTTTCATTGTCCTAAAGTTGCAATAAAATGAATAAGGCACAGTCTAGCTCTGAACGTTACAGACTTATTTGCACATAGTTGAAGTTACTGAAATTTTTGTCATTTACTTTAGAAGTAGGAGGTGTGGGGCCTAAATATTTCAGTGAGATGTGCTCGTACCTTTTAGCATCACTAAATAAATATAAGTAATTTGCTTCTGGTTTCTTCTAGTGGCATATTACAAGAGAAGTATTATTGAAAGAACCTAGATTTCTATTGCTTAAATGGAGTCTCACATTGAATATATTAATACACAACAAAACAGAGCATTTAATACAGACAATACAGGCATTGAACATAAGCAGCTTTACAAAAGGGAAAGCTGAGTGACTTGTGGAATTACCAGCACCTTTCACCTCTATCAGGGGACTCAGTTTAATTGTCTTCTCACTACCAAGATAGTAACTACACTGTGAGGACTAATTACTTCTGAAGTTTCTTGACTTTTTTTTAAAGAGAAAGTGAGGAGATAATTTAGCCTGTAGGTGCCCAGTGAACATTTCTTTGCAGAAGAGGCTGCAGAGTACTGGTCATAATTTTGTAGACACTATTCCATTATGAATGAGTTTGAAGCCACAAACTAGTGCAATACATTAAGTGAGCAAAAAAAGACAGACCTGCAGTAAGTCTGGCCCCTGCTACAGCAAATGTTCAGCCTGGCAGGACAAAGCAATGAATATTCCAAGTTCAGATTTTTCATTCTTTTAAAAATAAACTGTGCCCATTTTGCTCTTCAGACCATATGGTATGAATCATTTCAGTGAAGCATTCATCACATCATGATTTACACTGACATTATTTCTTAGAAGGTAAGTGGTGGGGCTTCACTGTGAGGAGCTTTATGTATTACAGCCATTCTCTGTTGTCTTTCACTTGTTTCACTGAAAAGTAACTTTATTAATCTCAGCTCAAAACTGGAGTTACTGGAGTGAAAAA